AGAAAGAAAGAAAACAATAGGTTTCTCTAATTCTGCTCGAATAATAATAAAAAGTATGCATTTGATCAGATTTGAAGGAAAGGAGTAATCACAACACTTGGAAATCAACTATCAATGTTAGTAAGACAAGATCATCATCATACACAAACATCTACACCATTAGAAATTGAACAAAGTCTTTCAGCTTCTATATCATCAACTAAACTACATATTATAAAGGTTTCTCGTCTTCATCGACATCGGTCATTGGATAGTCGAGTAAGATAGAACAAATTTTTTTTTTTTAAATGAACACTTTCAACGATCTATAGCATCACTGTTCATCAAAAACGAACAGAACAAGATCAAGTAGAGTTATTCATGTCACTATTCGACCTAGTAGTAATCTTCATTCTATGGATAGTAAATCGATCAGCGCAAAGAGTATTTCCTCTTCGGTGAAACTTCTATTAAAATTTCAATTGATTGACTATTTGTTTTTTCTTTGAAAAGATGCATCCAACTACTCTATCGGATGATCATCATCAACATCAATCAGAAAAATTCTCGATCACCTCAAATTCAGCTAGACAATTCATAAATTCAACATTTTCAATTAATACATCAAGAGACTATTCACAACATCATGTACTATCTGACGTAAAATAAAACCATTCAATTGATTCCTAAAAACAATCTTATTCTATTCTTTTTTTTAATAGTCGAGCCGGAAGGGATGGAAAAGTGAAGGTTCTAACAGAAGTTCGACAGTAGCAAGAAGAAATATAAATGAGCAACAAAAATATAATTCTGGAAAGATTATCAAAGTAAAGAGATGTCGATCAAAGTTATCAAAAGTGGCTCATCATGAGGTGATTATATAAGCAATCAGTTGTCAATAATATTAATATGATATTTTTTAGGATATGTCCACTGCTATAAAAGTAAGATTATTCTCATTTCATAGATACTATTATAATTACTTGTGATAGATAAGAGATGCATCATCAGATCTTAGAGATTGTGTCGATGATAATCATCGAAAAAAGAAAAAGAAAAAGAAAAAGTAAATCATCTTTCCTATTTCATTCTTATTCTATAATTGATCTATTTTTACAGTAATCTGTGTCGATGTTTGTTGATATTTCTAAGTATTTTGGTTATGATAATTATTACTGTGATTTTAATTGTTTTCTTGATGGAAAAGTCTTCAACAAAATGTAAGTTATATCATATTATAGTTTAATATCATTATTACAAAGAAATCTCAAAAGAAAATAGTTAAATTTAACAAGTTTTTGATTTAGATAAGGCAAAGAACTTTTGATTCTTGAGAGAAAAAAAGATTTTCTTCCAAATTCTACTCATGATGAGTGTTCCTGCTTACTATAACCCATGTACAAACTTTGACCTAAAAAAAGTGACTATTAAGTACTTTGAACAGCTTTTCTTTAAACAGAAAATAGTACTTATAAGTGAATCTATTCTTGCCTATCGAAAATTCTGCATCGAAGCTTGTTTTTCCATTTGATAATTAGCTCACTATGAATTAGCTATCATCATGTTATTTCGATGAAACCCATTAGGGTATAACTGTTGCGAAATCATTTTAATGATCCTATATGATTTCAAAGTGGATTCATTCAATAGATTCATTCGTAAAGGACTTTCATGCACCGACGAGCACATTAGATAGCAAGGCGACAAAATCGATTTATAAGATCGGAACCTAAGTTGTAGCTCGTATTAAAGCTACTATAGCCCTGGATTTAACTGCATCTTGAATTCTGATTGCAAGCGAGTAGCTGTCTTACAGTAGCTACCACAAAGTAGGTAAAATACAAGGTGTTCAATTTATTTTGAAACGATTTCCATAGGCTTTTCTTCATTAGTGAATTATTCAGATCTCATGATTCTCATATCAGTCTATCTGACTATGGCTTTAGATATTGCTCTAATAATCGATTTTTAGATAAATGAATATGTGATAATAAAATACCTAATAATATTGGAAGGATCGTTAAACGTTTTTTTACAAAAAGTATAGGTACTAGTACAACTAGAAATAAATTTTTTCCGATTAATTCTCCATATTATTGTCGTTTGACCTCAAACGTATACCAAAGATAATACATCGGTGGTTAGTCTATCTGTTCTGAAAATTTCGGCTATAAAGAGCGAAAACTTGTAACAAGGCTTGTCTTGCTATCATTTCTGATTCAATTTTGAATCTTTCAATGATGATAATAGATGCCCGAGGTATTCTCATATGTATGTAATTCTAAAAGACATTTAGCAACTATCTCAGAGTCCAAATTGAACCAGAAATGATTGCAAGACAAGCTTTGTCACAAGTTTCACAGCAGTTATATGAGAGAGTCTTGCACGTTTCTCTACAACTTTTCGCTCTTTATAGCTGAAATTTTCAGAATAGATAGACTAACTACTGATGTATTATCTGTAGTATATGTTTGAGGTCAAACGACAATAATACAGGGTGTTTCATAAGTTTTGAGGTGCGACAAAATTAGTTTATCTGCAGATAGAGAATAACTCCCAACCCAATGTATTTTATATGAGATTTAAATACTCTTGACGGCCTTTCAAATGACATAAAATTCAATGACATCTTCTCTTGTAATAATAAAAATACAACCATGAGAATATAATAATAAATTTTTTGGAATCGACGAACAATACGAGTCTTCTATAATAAGTGAAGATAAATAGTTAATGATATTTTTCATAATTTTTTATGACATAGAGCGCTAAATTTTTTATCACATATATATCTAGTCAAGATCTTTTATTTATAAAAGTTTTAGCTCTCTAGCTGTAACCACTGGTGAACTACATCGACGAGATTAAATAGATAAATTTTGATACTCGATTTTTGTGCTATTTTCACAAAATAATGCAAAAAACGAGTACCCAAATCTATCTATTTCACCAGTAGTTAAAACTAAAGTGCTGAAACTTTCACAAATGAAAGATCTTGATTAGATATACATGTGATAAAAATTTTAGCTCTCTATGTCACAAAAAATTATGAAAAATATCATTAACTATTTATCTTCACTTATTATAGAAGACTCGTATTGTTCGTCGATTCCAAAAAATTTATTATTATATTCTCATGGTTGTATTTTTATTATTACAAGAGAAGATGTCATGAAATTTTATGTCATTTGAAAGGCCAACAAGAGTATTTAAATCTCATATAAAATACATTGGGCTAGGAGTTATTCTCTATCTGTAGATAAACTAATTTTGTCGCATCTCGAAACTTATGAAACACCTTGCACAAGTGATTAAGCAGTGAAGATTTATCATGCCGCGTCTTTGTAAAGAAGTGAAGAGTATACCCTTCAAAAATAGTCTGTCATGAAGAAGAGAATACGTTTGCAGTTATACCTTTTCTTAGAGACGAACTATTTCTTATACTTGTTCTTAGTTGTTGAAGGAAGAAAACGTGATGATGGCGATGTACATTCAGGCTAGAGCCATGAATAAATATTTATTTCTTTTATTTCAAAAACACTTGGTATTCGTAATGGAAAGTGTATGTAATAAATAGGAAAAAAAACTAACACTAAAGTTAGAATAGTAAACAAAAGAGAAACTTTGAGTGCTGGAATTTATCGAAACGCTAGCTATACACCATCCTAGACTGCAAGACTGGCGTATCACTTCACCTTCTCTCACCAGTGAACAAACCTGAACATACTTACGAACATTCTGTAGTTGTCATTACGACCTATCTGACTTTATCATTACGAACTTCCAGACATTCTCATTCTGATCTTCTGCCAAATTTCATTGTCAGCCACTCAGTCCGTTGCGAGCATCTGAACAAATTTAATTCTGAACATCTTGTTTTTTTGTTATACTTCATTGAATTTTACCATTAAGAACTGTTTTTCGAATATCCTGTCATTTTTCTTCTATTCCGAGTTCGTAATGAAAAAGCGAGACGGACGAAATGCCACTTTCTCATCAATACAATATACAAAAACTTCGTATATGAGATAGTCTAACCAAGATATTTATGTGTATAAAGTTTTTCAAATCAAAGTTTCAAAATACGAAGGTTTTCAAAAACTAGACTCCTATAGGACCAATTCAATAAAAAATTCGCTATTTTGACCAAATCAAAGCAATAGCAGAAATCCTTTAGAAGTTAGGCAACTCTAGTAATCCTCTACCTGTGAGTGAAATATGGAAGCACACGAAACGAACCACTTAGGAATGTTCCATCGTTAGTTCAGTTTCTTTAATTACAAAATTTATATTTAGCTTCAACAAGTACTACAACATCGACTCCAGGTAACATACATTGTTTTCTTTTATTAATAGTTGATTGTCTTTGAGGATTGATCTCTTAAAAATAATGTTCAGTTAGACATATGGCGGTTCGATTTCATCTAGCTGAGCTGATGTTACTGAACACTGAATCTTATCCTATCCATTAGATTTGTAACAGTTTCATTTCAGACCATATAACTGAATTGTACAAGTGTGCTACAACGGAGCTGTCAGAATCTCAATGCTAGAATAAATCACGTCTTCAATAACCTAGCTCATATGACAAGAACTAGTAATCAATTTTTCTCACTCAGTTCTCGCGAATCAACAAGCTTTGAATAGTCACACAACTATGTTCAATATAAACAAATCTTTTATCTTCTATACGACAATTTGAATATGCCACTGAGCCAAAAGATTTTGTATCATAAAAATTGAGATCTTGCATATTTCACTAAACCATGAAGTATTTCATTTAACAACTAATTAGACGACGTCATCTTCAACGATTTTGTTTGAAAAGTACAAAACGTCTTGACGTATACAGAGCATAGAGAAGTTCTACAATAACTATCCGGACATAGTTTTCATTCACTACAGTCTAATGAGTCTTCTCTATGACCTTGAATCCTATATGATTTGATGATGTAGATTTTTTTTTCCAAACTCAATATAATAAATATTTGCTGTTAGGATGGTCTACTACTACTGTTAGTATGAGTTATGCACGATATTTTCATACAGCATCGATATTAACAAATGGAAAAGTGTTAGTTACTGGTGGTTTGAATAGTGGTGGTACTTTAATTAGTGCTGAGTTATATGATTCATCGACAGGAGTCTGGACAGACACTGGTAATGTAAGTTATGCACGATGTCAACACACGGCGTCCGTATTAAAAAATGGAAAAGTGTTAGTTACTGGTGGATATGACAATGGTATTTATTTAAATAGTGCTGAATTATATGATCCATCGACAGAAGTTTGGACAGGCACTGGTACTATGAATTATACTCGAAATTATCATACAGCATCGTTATTAACAAATGGAAAAGTGTTAGTTACTGGTGGATCGGATAATGGTATTTATTTAGATGGTGCTGAGCTATATGATCCATCGACAGGAGTCTGGAAAGGCACTGGTAATATGAATTATGCACGGTATGCACACACAGCATCAGTATTAACAGATGGAACAGTGTTAGTTACCGGCGGATTCGGTAATAGTGGTTATCTAAGTAGTACTGAGTTATATGATCCATCGACAGGAATGTGGAATGTCACTAGTAATATGAATTATGCACGACTTCTACACACAGCATCAGTATTAACAGATGGAAAAGTGTTAGTTACCGGCGGATCCGGCAACGGCGTTACTTTAAATAGTACTGAGTTATATGATCCATCAACAGAAATGTGGAATGTCATTAGTAGTACAAATTATGCACGATATCAACACGCAGCATCGATATTAACAAATGGAAAAGTGCTCATTACTGGTGGAACCATTAGTGGTGTTTCTTTAAATAGCGCTGAGTTGTATGATCCATCGACAGGAGTGTGGAGCGCCATTAGTAATATGAATTATGCACGACGTGATCACACAGCATCGATATTAACAAATGGAAAAGTATTAGTTACTGGTGGATATAACGGTGCTGCTTTAAATAGTGCAGAGCTATGCCAGTTATAAAAAACAAATCAGCAATGAAGATTTTTTTCTCTTTTTGACGAATAACCTTGACTATGAAAACCATTTCAACATAAGAATTATTGATTTACTGATAATCAAATATTTTTTTTCAATTTTTTTGCATTCGTCGTATGCTCAATAAATTTGAAGTTCTCTTCATAGTGGCCACTAAAATAACCAAACCATTGTGTACAAAAAAAAACAAGAAAACTAGATGACCTGTTCTTTTTATTGAAATATTGTCAATTTCAATGTTTCAATATTTGTTCGACTACTTTTTTGGTGGTTTTTTTTTGAAAGCGATACTTACAATGAAGAATTACTACTCATCTGAACCATAATAGTGTAACATAACACTTAATTAATTTGTTCACCGTCAATATTATCGGTTCAAATGATAAATGTAGTTCATTTCTCATTAATGTTAACGATTATGTGAAACTATTTAAATTTTACGTTCATTAATTAGTTCGTGTTCAAAAAACGTCCACTCCTGGTTACCTATGTCATATCTAAGTAGCTCTCAAAAAGTTCAGCGTCACATTTCTAAATTAACCCAAAAAGATTATCGATAATGCATATATATAGTCTCATAAAACTTTCAGATTTGAGTTTTAAGTGGCCCTCGAAAAGTTCTAAGTGTTACATCTAGATAGTTGTTGAGCAGTTCTATCTGTCATGGTCAAATAGTCCTCGAAATGTAATAAGAATCGCTTAATTAGATCAGTTTGAAATAGAGAACTGCTCAATAGCAGCCGCGCAACTGACGAGGAACGGTAGATTACTTTTTGAAATATTTTGGATGTTCTGAAAATAGAGTTTGTAGCTGTCTATTTGATGTTCTCAAGTCGCCGCTGGACCTCTATCGTCTTGATTGATGATACCGAATTTATGAAAAGTAAGCGGCATCTAGAGTCTATTCGGTAGGTCCCCAACCCGGCGAGATCCAGAAAATTTAATCCATTGAAACAGTTCTTGTACTTGGTGGGCTCTAAATATCAGGCATAGCCGATCATCGAAGAAAATTAGTCAAAAGAAATTTGGTTATGAATGTGAATGATCAATTACCCAGTCAAAAACAACAGCTTAAAAAACGCGAGTATTTGCAAGAAATTTTTTAAAACATGCGTCTACTTGCAGAAAAATTTATATCTGTCTTATTTTATGTGTGATCTTATAAGGCACTTGAAATATTTGCAATTTTTTGCGTATGAATGCAGATCAACAATACATGTATAGAGATACGTGTCGCAAACACATTCATGCAAATACAAATTTTTAAGTTTTTTAGTAGAATATGCGAGACCATGCATGACTCTGATGTTTGCAGATGCATGCATGGGCTGATCTTTCACGTTCATGCAAGATATATGATTCGCGTAGAAATACCATGGTATCCGCTGTCTTGGGTGTGTGTGGGTTTGGAACTCTGAAGAGAACATTAAAATCCTCTCCCCATACCCTTGAAAGTCTAATGGATTGCGGAATCCGATTTAGAATCTCTTTTCTATTAGATTGTAAAATATGCATCTAAATTCATATAGTAGCTTATCACCTTTTGGTACTGAAACTTAATAGTGATATTCACAGAGTTGATCAATATAATTGAAGTTGAGGTTATGAATCGACGCGAGAATCATACTGTTCTAGTTCTATTTTTTCTTTGAACACAAGAATGCTTTTCAGAAATAGAAATTTTTTCTAAAACTTAATCGAACGAATTTGCTATGCATGAATGCGAATCTACTAGTGTTTGGGACAATTCTGGAAATCGGCTTGTTCAATTGGTATAGGTTTATTTTGAGACAATAGATAATTTAAATAAAACTTGCTTAAATTATAAGTTAGTTTATACCGATCAGAAAAGTGGAACTCAAGAATTTCAACAAACTACCTGTAGATTTGGGTTTCTAAATCTCAAAATTATTCACACAAGTTCTGTCGAAGATTGTTATTCTTGAAAGATAGGGTGTGAATGTGGCTATAAATGAAAACAAGACCCAGACCCAGACCCACACCCTCAATTAATAGTAATGATTTTGAAGATTGATAGTAAACTAAATGATATGAAATAAAATTGTAAAGGACATACTACTATTCTATAAAAATATCAATTAATCGCTTGAACTGTATAAAAGATAGTGACGTTAACTTTCCTAACGGACTTTTGGGACACTGTGTATAAGTCATTCATATAAAAGCGATAAATACTATTGTTTGCAAAAGGCCATCATTATTACGAAGGTCAGGATGTCTTCTAAAACAATTTTATTATTCTGATATTATAAAAATTAAAACTGGGTAGTACCCATGTAAAAAAAAAATAAGGCTAAAATCAGCAGATTCGTGATTTTAATCGATTTCAAGCATAATTAATCGATGAAAACCGAGAAATTTAGATTTTTCTTTTGATTAAATTCCAGATTTTAACCGATTTTTTAGCATAATCGATTCGAAATCAACTAGTTTCTATCGATTATCATTAATTATTTTTGTTGGAATCGGATAGAATCGATTATTAGCAGATATAATCGATGAGATACGATTTTTACTAATCAATTAAAACCGATTTTCAGAAATAATCACTTTTAATCGGTGTTGAATAACTTTTTGATTATCTAAAATCAACTATGACGGATAATAATCTACTTAATCGATTAGATTTGCAAATCGATTATAATAAACAATTAATCAATTTCGGAAAATCAATTGACATAGTTTATAATCTAAGAGAATCGATTACGATTTCAAATTGATTATAATTACTGAATTAAAAACTATTTGAAATCAAATGGTATTGATTATAATCTAAGAGAATCAATCAGATTTTATAATCGATTATAATCTATGAGTTAAGAAACTACTAAAATCTAATGATTCTGATATACAACCATCAGAAATCTATTATATTTTTCATTTAATCATAATTATTGAGCTAAGACTTGTCCAGGATATTGCATAATTCCTAATAGTTCACCAGACTTTTTTGATTCTTGAATGTGTACAAAGGAGTTCAATGATAATTATCGAACTATCATTTGCAAATGTAAAAAGTATTTATAGTATAAAATTATCAACTGGAAATCATTTTATAGACCTTTAAATTACAGTCAACCATTAACTGTCTTAGCATATGTGTTTTAGATATAGATTAAAATTTATGGACGACGCTGAATTGAGCTCGGAAAAAATGAGGAAAGTGAGCTCGGAGTGCTTAATTGGTCCAAAAAATGAGGAAAAGAGCTCGTTTTTTCTCCAAGCTCAAATATAGGGAAAATGAGCTTGGAAAAAAGCTCATTAACGCTAAAACAACGAAAATATAGGAAAAGAGCTCGGTCTTTTTTTTCTACATATGTGCACATGTGGTAATATAGACTAGGGTATATGATGCATGCAATGGATGAACAGAAAAGAAAAAAAAGAATCACGTGACGACACAATGTATATTTACGAAAGAATTGTGAAGAAGCATTGTTTACAAAAGTTTATTTAAAACTCTTTATTCTATTGTATACTTAAAATTTATCTGAAATCTTTAAACATAAATCAAATTGTGGTGGAATGGAACGGACGTGGAAGGAGATAAATGAAACAATTGTTAGTGAAAATGATTTAATGTCTCTGACAAAGTCTCACAACGTCAGTGTCTATCGTAGAGAAAATTTTAAAAATTATGAATCAATAACATATAGATGTTCACAATATCGAACTTTTACCAAATGTCAATATCAATTAAAAGCAAAAATCTATCATGATGGTACTTATCAAATTTTTTATTCTCAACACCATGAACATGAATTACTTGAAGATACACGTTTACCAACTGATATTCGTTCAAATATTCGTGATCTTGCTATGAAAGGTTTAACCATCAATCAAATACAAAAAATGATGGAGGTAATATATCCTGATATTTCAATTCACACAAAAATCAGAAACGTTATTCAGTACGAAAAGAAAAATATTCGTTCTTCTATAACATTTATTGATGATTTAAAAGCATGGTGTTCTAGTAGAGCATCATATCCACATCCAGATAAAATACATCAGGTAAATTCGTTTGAACTAATCGAAAATCTTTTATTTTGTTTTTAATTTTTTTGTAGCCTTTTGTACCATTTTTCGAGGTTACTAATATTGATAATATTTTTGTTTGCATCACAACTCGTCAACTCCTGTCGACGTGTAAATGGTCATGCACTCTTCCTATCGATTGCACGTACAAAATCACATCATGTGAATTACCTTTATTAATCTTTGGAACGTCGGATATTAATAGACTTTTTTTTTTCCTATGGGATTATGCCTTATAGCTACTGATGAAACAACAGAAACATTTGTAACATTTCTTAAAGGTATACAAGTTTGGGCAGCAACAGCTAATCATCAACCATATACAAAAAACGTGATAATGGCTGATGGTGCTCCTGGTTTAACAGCAGCTGTGTAAGTAATTTAGAGCCGTACCATTTATGAACTTGTTATTTTTTTTAGTTCAAATGAATTATCGACATGTAGAAGGCTTATGTGCTGACCGCATGTTTTAAGAAAGGTTCGTGAACATAGATCACTTATTAAAAATAAAGAAAAATTTCTTATGGTGGAAAAAGATACCAAGGAATTACAATTAGCATTTAATGACCAAGTATTTTTTGCTGGTGCAAAATTAATGTTAGAAAAATGGGCTACTGATAAAGATCTTAATAAATTTTCACAATATTTTAGTGAGGGTATGGGTGTGGGTGTGGGTGTGGGTGTGGGTGTGGGGTGTGGGGTGTGGGTGTGGGGTGTGGGGTGTGGGTGTGAGAGAAAACACTATCAACACACCCACACCCACACCGTCTATATGTTCGATAATAGAAAAAAGGAGTTCGATGCATGGCTTCAAATAGGATATATATCAAAAGGAAAGTTCTTGGGTCAACGGTGAGTTAAGCTAGAATGAAATCCTGTGTCTGGTAAGCTGTGATTTTATTTATTTCTCAAACAATCGATCGCCGACAGATTGATATTCACAAGATTACGGAAACACGTCCCTTTCCACGAAACCGACCAGCAATCCATTCAAGTTCAGCATTGCTGAATCGATTATTCTCAGCGTTAAACGTTTCCAAATTTTCTATAAGTTTGATGTCATAAATTGCTTCGGGCAGCGTCGTCAGCTGATTTTCCGACAAATCGAGAGCCGACACAGATCCCATTTTTTTTATTTCGTCCGGAATAGATGTGATCTGGTTGTTCTTGAATGAGTACTTGAGATAACGATTCATGTACCATTTTGCGCCGATTGTTCCAATGCCGGTGAGTGAGGTGAGCTTGTTGTCGTTCAAATCGAGATTGACTAATTGAAGCAAGTTAAGTGGTAGATGATTGAGTCCACAATGGGATGCTCTCAATTCGGTGAGGTTTGATCCACTAATAACATCGAGAGAAGTGATCAGAGAATTGTTGCTTACGTCCAATTTCTGGAGGTTTTTCAACTCGTTCATGGTGGTGGGAAGAGAGTTAGCGAGTTTGTTCCCACTGAGGTTGAGTGATTTCAATTGAAACAGTTTTCCAATGTCATTCGAGAGAGTATCAAGGCCACAGTTGCTGAGAATGAGAGTCTGCAAGAGATTCAACGTGAACAGTTCAGCTGGAAGATGTTTTTGCGGTTCACTGATGTTTGAAATTATCAGCGTATTGAGAGTTGAAGAAAGACGTCCGATTTCTGCTGGAATAGTGAAATTTGAAGACGTCACTGATAGTACCTGCAATTTGCTGAGACAAAAGATGGAGAGCGGCACGCCTTCTAGCCTCTCAAACAAATATAGTTCAGTCACGTCGCCCATTGTATTAACGATGGCGTATGTGATGTGTTGCCGTTGAACCGGATTGATGAAGACAGCGAATGGAAGGGATTGAATGATTTGCTTGTCTGATTTGTATATTGAACAGTCGAGTGAAGAAGCTTAAAACACAGAGGAATGAATCTACACACTAGCAGCATCTCCAAAATGAACTATACCTGCATCAGACGCTAACGTCAGTGTCAGAACAAAGATTAATAGAGACGCAATGCCAAGCATCGTTGTCATGATGGTGAAAAAAATGAGACTGATCCATCGATAGGCAGCACTCTTTCTACTAAGCGCAATCACCATCATCTGGATTGCTTCTCACATGCGTCCATGTAGAATTTCGGGTAATACGAAGAAAAGCGAATCGACCGAGAATGAATGCAGATAAGGTTGAAAAAAAATGAGACTATTCGATCGATGCGCAGCACTTTTCTACTAAGCACAAACACTGTCACGTCCGTCAAAGTAAGAGTGTGGGTGTGGGTATGGGTGTGGGTATCGGTGTGGATCTGGGTGTGGGGTGTGGGTGTGGGTGTGGGTGCGGGTTTGAGTGTGGGTGTGAGTGTGGGTGGGTGAAAAAAGAGTTATATACAGTCTGAAACCGCTCCTCACCCACACCCACACCATTTATGATGAAGTGAATTTGATGAGAGTGTGGGTGGGGGTGTAAAAAGTATTAGCTTTAAACAGATCAATCTATATTTTTTTGAAGAATATAAATTAATCTGCTGCTCTCAATTTTTGCTTTTCAGCAACCGATCTAGTCGTATAAATATTTTATTTAAAATAGAATGTGCTTGATGGAAACTGATTTATTAAAAATTATGCAGTTAATTTTTTTACACCGACGCGTTTCATGTTCATTATAATAAAATTTTAAAACACTCTTCACGGCATATGATGCATTATATAAGTTTCCAGGAAATTCCTTTACTTTTAAGACATTGATCAATTTCCGGAAATTGATTTCAGTTTCCGGAATGGACATTCAGTTTCCCATAAGGTATTTATGGATATAATGGGCATAATGGGCATAATAGGCATAATAGGCATAATCGCCGTAATGGACATAGTCGTCGTATTAGATACGATCATCAAAGGTATTAAGCTCTTAAATCTGTTTGAAATGCCCGAATTCTAAAAAACCATGACAGATATCACATCGCAGCAGGTGCGTGTGCTTCGAAAAGACTTCCACTACGAGGGATTCACACATCATCGCACCAGGTGTGGGTGCGGAGAAACGACTTTCACCACGAACGACTCACACATCATCGCACCAGGTGTGGGTGCGGAGAAAGGACTTTCATCACGAAGAACTCACACATCATCGCACCAGGTGTGGGTGCAGAGAAAGGGCTCTCACCATGAAGGACTCGTAGAACATCGCAGCAGATGTGTACTGAAAAGGTATACTCAGGGCCAACGACACAGAGAATCGCAGAAGGTGTTTGAATATCCCCATTATGTCTATTATGCCCATGACGCCCATTATGCCCATTATGCTGATTATGCCCATTATACCTATTATGCCCATTATGCCCATTATGCTGATTATGCCCATTATGCCTATTATGCCTATTATGCCCATTATGGCTATTATGGCTATTATGCCCATTATGCCTATTATGCCTATTATCCCTATTATGCCAATTATGCCCATTATGCCTATTATGCCTATTATGCCTATTATGCCTATTATGCCTATTGTGCCCAGTATGCCTATTATGCCCACACACCATCTCACAGAACTGATTATAACAAAAATTAGTTTCCCGGAAACTAATACAACGCATCGAATCCTTCAGGGCACTGCATAACAATTTCAAGCAATAAGCAATAAGTTTATAAAAACATGTGTGAGAAATGAGAAAAAAGAGCAAGGAATAAAGGAAAAAATAGAATTTGGAAAAATAATGAAAGATGTAGAAGTGAGAGCTATAAAGTAGGGCAAATAATAATCATGAAGATATATCCAGTTTTTTTAAACTTTTTAAAAAAAAATTTTTATTTTTGGATAGAGAAATTATAAGGTAAAAGAAAGTTGAAGCAACGGTTTTTTTAATTTTTATATTATATATTTTCATTTGAATTTTCTCTTAAACTTTGTTTTAAGTTAACCGGCCTGTTTTATTGAATTTATTCAAATTTATTTAATTTGATCGGCAGGTTTCTTTAGAGAAATTATTTAATTTATTGTCATATAGTTACGACCTGGTGATTCATGTTAATATTGTAATGGACTTTCTTTCACTATTGTGCGGCTAGCGACATTTTGCTGATGATTTTTCCAGTTGGTGCTATCTTTTCATCCAATGGGCATATGTTCCGAAATGCTTTTGTTTCTTGAGACATTTCTAATCTTATTTTTTATTTTTAGCATCTTCATTAACAATTAGTTTGTTTTTGAGAAGTGATTATATTTACTTAGGGGAATCCAAAAGTAGTGGCAGTGACACTTTTATACCATGGAGTACCCTTTAAGAAACTTTTTCTCTATATAGTCTGATATAGAAAACAATGCTCTATTTTTCTATGCTATTTGATCATACTTCAACGAATATCATAATAATAAAATTTCGATAAGATCTATTTTGTTCCCATGTGTCACGGTTAGATAAGGCTCATTTTTTAAAAAGGGCAGATGAGTATTTTCCGAATAACTTCCGTTAGAAACAAGATCGAGAATTGTGGTTTTCACTGTTGGAAAGAGGAGATGAAGACGCATCGAATCGTGTATTACAAGGTTTCTTGATCTGGTTTTTTTATAAGTTTTCCAAATGACGTTTGTAAGAGCATACCTGCCTGAGAAGTTGTTACCGTGAATTTTCAATTATCAAGTATAGATTCAAATCACTAATCGAAGATCTATAAACTGCAGAAATCTTAGATGAATAATATGTATTTTAGTGGAGCTTCTAATTCTGTTTTCCTGCAATTTTTGTGAAAAAAACCTCACTTTTATCCCTTTCTCTTTTCCAATAAAAAAAGAACATTTTTTTAAGAGTTAGAAAATCGAGTAAAAATGCTTCAAAAATCGATATTAGAAAAACCAATAATACATGTTTCGATTCATCTTCATCTACCATTCCCAACAGTGAAAGCCGCAGTTCTCTATCTTATTTCTATCAAAAGTTAGTTACAAAATACTCACAGACATTCATGTAACCGCGACATATGAGAACAAAATAGAGCATTGTTTTCTCTATCAGACTATATAGAGAAAAGGTTTCTTAAAGGGTACTCCATGGTATAAAAGTGTCACTGCCACTAGTTTTGGATACCCCTAAGTAATAAAACGCTTCTTTTTCTATTTAATAAACGTCATATGCCGCTTCGACTTCATTCAATAATATCATGTGCTACATTTAAGCATGATCTTTGAATTAAACTAACATAATTTTGTTTTGTTTTGAAGTTTTTTCAATTTTTTGCTTTAAATTTTTCTTTCTAGTACATGATTGATCTATCTTAATTATTAATACCATAATGCAATAGTTCTATTTAACTTTACATTATAGATTGCAGTCCAGACCGCTAGCAGAATTTGTTTTTATTCTGCGAAGCTATGATCCTATAATGTTATTTCAATTAATAATATTGCAGTTATGGATATTGTTGGTTTTGGTCCATTCATGTTTGGATTCACAATAATGGATATTGTTAGTTTCGGTCCATTTATGCCGAATGATATTTCAATTAGTTATTTGGGCTGTGGGTGTCGGGTATGGCTGGGTGTGAGGTGTGGGTGTGGGGGTATTGAGTGTGGGCGTGGGTGTGGGTGCGACTGGATGTGGGTGTGTGAGAGTGGGTGTGGATATGGGTGTGGGTGTGGCTGGTGTGGGGTGTGGGTGTAGATGTGCGTAATTTTTCCAGTCGCACCCACACCCACACCCTAAATATTTTCAAATTCGAACGCAAAGTATAGTTTGTGATGACAGACACATAGGTTCTGTGAAGCCTACTACTTTGTAAAACATAGCTTATCCTGCAAATAAGAAAACGTGACGGTTCGTGTACAATGTGCTACATCTTCATAACCAAATGTATGTATTTGCATGAATAATAATAGCTTTTCATTCGAAAAAGAGATATACATCTGGCGATTTATAATGAAAAAGAGTCGAATATATTCTTCTCTCTTTTCTAACTGCGTAAGGAAATGACTCGGACGGGGCGATGGAAGAACAAAGAAAAGTAGCTGAATATTTTCTTTTCTCTTTTCCAGATGGATGATGCGATGAATATAACGAGGTAATGAAGAAAACGATGTCCAGGGCATTTAATATCATTTTTCAGCAAACAAAAGCTGATGAGAATGAAGAAAAGAAATAGAAAATGGTCATAGGCAACGAGCATCGGCGAAAAAAAAGATAGAAGAATAGAGGAGAGAAAGTAATAGGTGATGCGTCACTTTTAATATCTGAAAATAGCAAAAGAATAACTCCTTCATTCGCTAACAAAGTGATGTGGAAATAAAATCATGTCGAAGAAAAAAAATATAAGAAACCAGGTCGAGATAAGCTGCATTCACATGCTACATACAAAAATGTATGTAGCTTACTGTTAGTGATTCTGCTTCACTTTATTTTTTCAAAAAGTCATAAGGAATGAATAATAACACAAGCGTAACAAGTATATATTAGACGGAAAAGAATAAAGAAGATAGAGAATAGACAGAAACAGAAAGATATAGAAGATATATGATATAAGAGAAGGACAGGATGAAGCTATTTCGTATGTTAGCGACATCTCTCTAACATTTATCCTCACTGATTTAAATCATTCGCAGCTTGTGTTCCATATGTAACCTTTTTCTATCCAGCTTTTGATGACAATATGAATGAACATGTGAATGACATACAATTAAATAAAAAAAAATTATTAAAAAAAAAATGAAATGTTTGAATTAAAAATAAAATTAGTTCTTAGTTCTATTAACAAGATGATTCAAGCTTAAAATAAGAAAATAAAAGAAATTCATCTTGAAAAATCAGTTAATTTACTTTTTTAAGTAATTTTTTTTGAATATTTCTTCATTTCAAAAGCTGAATCATCTATCAATTCTATCGATATTTTAATGCATGCCACTTTGAGTTATAAGGAGAAACAAAATGTATTCTAAATTGCATGAACTGGCTGGTGTTTTTGCTTTTTTTGTTGATTTTTTTTCAAATCAAAATTTGTCTTAGAATAGTATTCGAACTAGGATTTTATGACTGATAAAATTTCGATCTAGTTAACGCTGCGTATCCTTTATGAGAATCAAAGATTTTAATTGGCTCTAAGAAAAAAAATTTAAAAAAAATTTACTATTGAGACTGTTTTTTCTGTCGTATGTCGATCTATAGAAAGTTAGACAGTTCATGGTTAAAAGTCAACGAATTCAATGCAATTCAATTCATAGGTTCTATAGCTTTTCAAGTAAGCTCAACTCAAAATATGTCAACTCCATAACATGTTTCCAGTTTAAGTCATTTAATTCATGAATTAAGTTGAATTAATCTTTTTTTGATGGAATTGCTTAGTTCTGATTTTGATTATTTTCAAGAATAAGCTTTACGCGTTTGCTTCTGTTGTCTTATCTTCTTTCAGTGTATTTTATCATCTTATTAAGGATATCCCCTCAGAAACGAACTTCGTTATTTTTCATCCGATTTCAACCAAAATTTCAAAGAATGTTAGTCTTGACTAGAATAGCTTATGGTTGAAATATTTCCCCAAATCTGAAAGAAATGCATAAATTCTAGTTAATCCATAACCCTTTATGTGGGCAAGGATTTCGCAATAAGGATACGAGCTAACATGCCGGGGCAGTTTTCAAATTGTAGAGTGCTCTTAGTCTTAGGTCGTAATAGAGTCCGACTTTTGAATTTTCGTTTCTTTGCTTTTTAATAATCTTTTTTCCAAAAATTTTTGAAGTCATGACCAAAACAGGCCACTGATCAAAACAAAGGATGTACGGTTTTTCTTTCAACTAAAGAGAAATTTAAAATTCGGGCTCCGTAACAACCTAACCCTACATGTCTTCTATATAATAAAGCGAAAAATATCATTCCCATGTCGAGTTTTTGTCTCTACAATATATTGATGGTTCAGTTTTATATCATTCGAAGTAGGTGAAAATCGAAAAGCAAAAGGAAAATAATACTAACCGTGTTGGAAAGATGTCTTTAATTACTTCTTTATTTCTTAATAATAGAAATAATTTTGTTTTCGGATGAAATAAATTTTGCACGAATTAAAAATATTATTAACTTTTATTTGATTAAAAAAAATAAATTTTTCAGAACGGAAATAAAAGTGATGAAAACACTTTCAATTAATCTTTGTTAAGAAAGCCAATTCATTATTATTTTTTTCTTAAAAATAAAAAACGAAAATGAAGAAAAAAAATGCATTGTTAGAGAATAACAACAGACACCCTAAATAAATTTTTTAATTCTGAAAAATAAACAATTTGTTCATCTTTGTTTTTTAATGATTAAGATCCTATGCATCTTTATTTTTTAATAATGAACGTTGACGATGTCATCACTTATTCACATGTTAGAACCCAGTCTAATAGTATTTAATTCAAGACATATTTTAATAAAATTGTTTCATACAAGACGATTTATATTCATTTCATCTTAAATATTTTCTTATTTGTGACAAAAGTTGAATCATATCACATTGATATTCAAACTGTCCAAGAAAAGAATTTTTAATTTTGTATTTTTTTCCTTCCTTCATATGTGAGCTATACAAGTGCCTGAAATAGATTGATAATGAACGCTCTTTTTTGCATTGCAGAGGCTAAGTGTAGTTTTTTTATGCAATGGTGAAAAAAAGTGCATGTACGTGAAAGTGGACGTAGCTTATCTCAACCAAGAAACCAAACCAGCGGTCCAACCAGGCCATGTTTTTCAGGCCTGTGCGGCCTGTCAAGGCCTGTCAAGTTTGTCAAGAGACTCTGATAATGATAAAATACTAGAAACAAGATGTGCAAATAGGGCACTAAGGCTACTGTTCAATCCAAACCTGACGTGCCTGTTAACGGCAACACCCGTGTGAACACCAATGTCGTTACAGACAGTGGAGCCAGTGCAGGCAGTGCCAGTGTATACACTGGTTCAGTGAACACCAATGTCGGTGCAGCCAGTAGAGCCAGTGCAGTCACTGTCAGTGTATGCACTGGTTCGGTGAACACCAATGTCGGTGCAGACAGTGGTCAGTATACTGAAACTGCACATCCCTACATCTATCTGACGATATCGAGTCTAAGTTTTCATTTATATTAATCTATTCAAGAGTTGTTCAGAAATTTTTCTACTTCAAATTAACCTGCAGAAAAAGACACGGTAAATACCATCATATTGTATTTGAAGTATTTACTACCATTATCATTAATTTAAACATAAAGTCTCTTGTAGAGAAAAATGTCCACGTAATGGATAAATAAAAAACTTCTGTCGCATGATAGATAGTAATCTATATTATAGGATTTAAAAAGACAAGTTTATAATCAGTATAAGAAATATACGTATCAAAAGCCTGACTCAATAATATGTGAGCAGCTTTATTAAGCGAAATATAATAGAGAATGCAATATTCCATAAGCTAATTCATGACTCGAATACCCCAAGAGATAATTAAACATTGTCAGCAAAAACAAATACAATTGAATCTTCGAAGCATATAAAGGCGAGCGGATGCTGAATTGTGACCAAAAAAAATGAGTGCATAGCTCAAACACGAATAAATAAGCACACATTTGTCTACGAAATAAAGAGTCCTTATATTGAAACTCTGTTCAGATATATTTGAGTGGTTTACATGATCTGATGATATTCAGACATAAACTTCGGTTGAAATAATCTTTTCACTGATATCTTTTGTAAATTTATTCGAAAATATTCAAAACTGTCTTTGAATGCATTTTAAACTGCTGTTCATTTCGAAATAGAATGTCCTCCACTGTTTTTTGAATAACTCAAGTCAGGGACGAGCTAGAGACCTGCGAGTTTCATCAATCGAAAGAGGAGACTAGGGGACATTCTTCTCTCCGAAAATGTTACAGAGAAAATCCTTTTAAAACTAATTATTATCGAAAACATGTAAAAGAAGGTATGAAAAATGACCTGACATTTAGATAAAACATTGACTAAATTGAATCATGTATTTACATGAGCAAATAATAGGGCGTTTTGCTGAGTTTTCTCACTTGTTATCATAATAGCTTGAAGTTTCAATGGAAATGTAATAAAAAGTAAGGAAGCGTATTATATCTTAACATATAGATTTGAAGTTCCTCTATCTGAATCAAAGTTTTATCTAGACGTCAAGTCATTCCCATGCCTTCTTTCACAATGTTTTTCGAGAATAATTTGTTTTACAAGGATTTTCTCTTAAACAATATCAGAGAGAAGGATATCCACTGGTCTCTACCTCATTTCTGACTTGAGTTACTCAAAAAACAGTGGAGGGCATTCTATTCTGAAACGGATAGTATAATTATTGAATTAAAAGAAACAAATAGTTTAATTGAAGTTTCTCTCATACATTTTGAAAAATTCTCGAAAACAAAATAATTGAAGTGCTAAAAAGCTCTTGTCGAGATACTAGCATACTCCTCTTACCTGTTATGGCTCTTATGAATATCAAACTATGACTTTCACATACAACACATTGTCATAATGGATTTTGAAATCATGATGACTAACACAGATCCTTCTACGAAACATATTTTACTTTAATTATTTAGGTCTGACCAAAAGTTCTCAGAGCATTAAATAAAAATATAAAGATAAGGAGATATTTTTAATTTTATTTTATCAAATGTTGAGGATAGTTGCCATTATTAGTTATACAAAGTCCGATCCTTTCTAACAATTTGTTAAAAGTTTTTTTGAAGTCTTTTTCGAAAAAATTTTTAGGTACCTTGGATACCGCATGAGCTAATCATGTTTCACTTATTTAATCAGTTAAACTACGTTCGATAGAATTAGTTAGTCAGAAATTACATAGTATCAGGCCTGGCGAATATGGTGGATATGGCATTATATTGATGCCTTCTTCTGTCATATAATTAATAACATTGGATGAGTATGAAGTCAACGATGATCGTCAAGCAATTTTGTACATTTTGAACCTGATGTCTCTGTTTGTTTCTATATTTCATTAACAAAAGGCTTCAGACAATTTTCAATATAATACTGTGACCTACAGTCTTGCCTTTATCTCCACTCAGGACTATTTGATTTAAAGAATATACCAAACAAAATTTTGGTTAAAATCTGTCTTTCTGAACAATAGTCTTTGACGGTTCATCTTCAATCAGCCAGCTAGCATCAGATAACTTATGACTAACCTATATAAAATAAATCCACATTCCATCACTAGTAATGCTGGAATGCAAGTAACATGATTCAACAAAATTTCGCTAAGTTTTTAAAACAAATGAAATATGATTAGCTCAAGCGGTATCCAAGGTACCTAAAAATGTTTTCGAAAAAGACTTCAAAAAAACTTTTAACAAATTGTTAGAAAGGATCGGACTTTGTATAACTAATAATGGCAACTATCCTCAACATTTGATAAAATAAAATTAAAAATATCTCCTTATCTTTATATTTTTATTTAATGCTCTGAGAACTTTTGGTCAGACCTAAGTATATCATCTGTGAATTTAGTTTGTACACTTTATTTATGAACGAAGTTCTTTTTTCTTGCACTCATTAATTTGACAAAAGATACTAGCCTAAAAATATTGCTGTTTCTCTCAACCATGTCAAATACAAGTAAAAATACCAATATCAATATAGTTTTGGTAGATTCGAATCAACAACACATATAGAGTTCTAACCGTTTCAACTATTCCATGAGTCATGTGTTTATTGTTTAGTTTATATGATTTTCTTTTCGATCAGACTCTACAAAAAGCTGTTAGTAATCATGTTATCTTTTATATATTTGTTATGACTCTCTTATATGGATTTTAATACTAGGTATTTATATTGAGCTGCACTACATCTTAGTATTTTTTGCCTTGCCATATGAAAATATGTATTAGAAGTCATTAGATCCAGTTTTGGCTTGTCATTTAACAACAATATATTACTTGTGCAAGAAATAATAGTTCACAAAATACAATTTTCTTTCATTTTGTTGTATCAGATGTTATTCTTTTAAGATAGATTTTACAGCGAAAGCATCACATGTAATAATAGGTGTGCTGATTACAATATCGAAAGATGATTAAGTAAGTCTTATTAATCTTATGTCTTTAGTTGATTTTTCCGTTTTCTAGTAGAGTCGTAGCAGTGGTTCCGCTTTGTCGCTGACCAAATTTTGTTATAGTTCGGTATGCATGACTTGCCGGGCTCATCAGTTATCATGTCGTACTTCTGTTTCCAATAGTTTCTATTGGATCATTAAAATGTATAGATGATACATAATCACTTTATTCTTCAATGAGAACTACGATGCATCGAGGGTGTGGGTGTGAGTATAAATTTCGTTTTCATCAACACCCACACCCACATCCATCCCACATCCATCCCACACCCCACACCCACACCCACACCCACACCCAGCCGCACCCTCGTTGATGTAATCTTAATGTCAACTACAATGACAATGCAGTAAGGGTGAATTCATGGTTTTTAATGTTCTCTATGAGGTATGAGATAGGATCTTTTTACACAATCATCCTTCTCCTTCTCTATTTCTGTTTCATATACGATTCTGCAACATTTTCGTGTTCCTGTGAATAACTAAAAATGAAACTTGTTCTTCCTTTTCTGGTACTGTTTGCCGCTCGTGTATGTGGTGCTGATAGAGCGTATGCTCATGCAGATATGTATCTCGCAGGAACGATTAACTTTTACGAAGGGCAAGAAGCTTGAGACATTGTCATCACTGGTTCTGTTAGTCGTCTAAGACCTCTAGCAACATTGGTAAGTCTATGCTTTGAAGAAAAAAGCGTCAATTCAATATATTAGGTTAAAGTGTAGCATTTTATAATGATTCTTTATCTTTCCATAAAAACAGTGACAGATTATTATAAAATCCTCCTTCCCTTTCCGAAAATATCCACATTGGAAATTCTCTTGTTCAATAGCAAACTGCTAGGTATATAGTGATTGTATTATTACGCTGTACTGTTAACTTTGAAACCAAATATATTTAAAAATTCTGAAAACGGCAAGTATTGTAAACTTTTAACATAAGAAGATTTTTTCACCTAGTTTTCTGACTCATTTCGGTTTAATCAGCAATAGTCCGTTTTAGGGTGTATTGAAATGCTATTTCTAGCAGTCGTATATCAGTTAGATTGCTCTTTAACCACAAACCCGCACTCTAAACCCAAAGAAATAGAAGCAACAGAAGCTTACTCTTTATAAAAAAAAACTTTTTTAAACGTCAGCACAACAGAATGTTTGAGATGAAAATACACATTCTTGAATCGATTCATCAGAACTATACAATACAGAAATTTGTTCTTCAACAATCGTGATAAAAACTCTCAATGAAATAAATTTCTATCAGGGTTTTCATGTTCATTCTTTACTCATCGGAGACAATCATAATTGTACAGCTGGTGGTGCTCATTTCAATCCCTACAGTAAGTTCAGGTCTCTATAACAGTGTGATGATCTTCACACTTTATCTGTCATGATAGATGTATCTCATGGGATGCAGGAAGATTCAGTTTTGGAACGACATGTGGGAGATCTAGACAATATTGAAGTAGATGCTGATGGTATAGCCCATGTTGGAATATGTGATTGGGTTATTTCGCTTGGATTCAATAAGACAAGAAATGTTATTGATTTACCTCTTATGATCCACAATTTGACAGACGACGGAGGTCACACTGGCCATGGTGAAAGTAACATGACTGGGTAAGTATTTATATACCGAATTGTCATTTTTCTTTATCGATATCTTCATCGAATTCTTAGAAATGCTGGTCCTCGTATAGCATGTGGAACAATACGTCCTGATTAAATAATGTCTTTCCATCCTGTATCTGTCTATCAAAGCTTTTTTTGTAAATTTGTTTTTCTTTTTAAAAGCCATTACTTGATTGGAAATAATAATGATGATGACTTTCTGAAACGCAGAACTATTCGCGAAATAATCAGCGTGCAATTATTTATAAATGTACTCTTCGCTCTGAGTAATGGGATGAAAATATGCATGCACTAATCTATTACAAAAGTCAGAATGTTTCCATTTAAAAGACCAGGATGTGGGTGTGAGTGAGTGGACGGGTGTGAGGGTGTGGGTGGGGTGTGGGTGGGGTGTGGGTGTGCGTGCCAATGCTTGATTACTGCATATAGACTCACTCATGGCACTCCCACACGCATACGCACATCCATACGCACACGCACACTCACACCCACCCACCACGCCCACGCCCACACCCACCCACACCCACACTCACACCCAGACGCACACCCACACCCACCCACATCCACACACCCACACCCAGACTAAGTTACTGAATTTGAAAACTCATTTAGGGTCTATTCAAACTTATGTCGTGTATTGCTTAATTTATTTTGGGCAGATTTTCTACATGCATCATATTAATGACGTTACAAGCTCGTATCTCTTATCATCATTCATGTGGACAACTTTCCTTTTCGTTCTCTCATAAGTGAGCATGTATATCATTGCAGCTGAGAGAACGACAAAAAGATGCATAAAGACAACAAAAAATCGTTCCGGCAAGGAACAGTATTTTTAAGTTTTTTTGACTTCGAACTACGCCATGCCTGCACTCATATCATAGAGCAATAATCAGTTTTTAGGTTCTTTCTAATGATGTTAGTCTTATGAATAGGACTTTTAGTCGATTTTTTCTCTAAAAGTTGATATGAATCATCTTTAGTAATAGCGTAGCTCGATTAGTTTCTTTTTTGTCCTTCACTGTATGCTGTCTTCAAGTGCATGTATTACGCTGTGGAGAACGCAAGACGATTCTTTTTCCTCTAGAATACTATTTTCTTCATACCACTCTGCTGACTGACTTTTGTCACGCGCCAATGAATCTACCTCATTTTTATGTTTATTAGTTTGCTTTTTTTGCTTATAAACACTGCAAATACAAGGTAAAAAGCACAACACACCATTACCGTTGCGCAAGTAAGTATATCATAAGGACGAAACCGTCCATTTGGACTGGGTACCCATTACGGCTGACCCTTTAATTTTAAAAACATTTTAGTGAAGTAGTTCAAGTTCAAGTATCCTACTTTAAACTTTAGTTTTCGACTTAAAAAACTTAAGTTAGAGTAAGTGTATCCAAAACTTTAATATTAATGAAATCAAAGTTAAAGTACAATTATTTTTTCAAAATTTACATTTTATTCATAGTTGCCATACTTGTCAATTCTAGATCTTTGCCGAAAAGTAAACGGGATCTGGAACCCGAATCTGAAGTTAGATTCTCAAAATGATGTACTAGAGTTTCCACTAAGGCAATATATAGCTGAAGTTATCACCAGATTCGAGTATTTTCTTCCCGGATTCGTTCAGGAACTTGTTCCAAGTAGAAATCGACGAGCTCTATCGATTGGAATCATTAGATTTTCAATAGTTGAAATCATTGGCCGTAGAAATTGATCTTTTTAACATTTTTCCCATGGAAACCAACAATCTTGAAAAGGATTTCCGCACCGCATTCTCAAAGAAACTTGTTCTACCTGTGCTATTCTTGTTCCAAATAGAACTCGGCTAGCTCTAACGATTGGCATAGGCAGATTTTCTATAGCTCAAATCATTGACCTTAAAAGTAAGATTTTCGACATTTTCACCATGGAGAGTAACTACCCTGAAAAGTATTTCCTTCCAGATTCTTCTAGGAACTTGTGCCAAGTGTGCTCTTCCGTTTCCGAGTAGAATTCGACTAGCTCCACAGACTTGTAAAATCTGTTTCATTGACGGTCAAGTCTTTTCTGCGAAAACGTGGTTTTTGCTTATTTTGATTCACTGGAATAAGCTCTCCACTGAGTATCTGCATATAATAGAGTTTAACCAGAAGCTTTGTCAAATATTTCCGTAAATCTGACTTTTTTGACAGCAAACAAGAAGTATCAGCGATGTTTTGTTTGGTTATATATTGAATTGGTTAATTCTTATGTGCTAAGCATTTACTAACACCGTCCATGCTATACTTGAAATTTCTATGAAACATATTGGATTGCCGATATCCAATTTAAACTCAAGAAAACACTTTGTCGTGGAGGATACAAGATCTGTACTTATAGTGATGTAGGCAAAGGAGAGCTGGGGTCTTAGCTACCCGCAAAAACCTTTGAGCCCCTTCCCGCATCCCCCGCTAGATTTTTGGAAGATGTTTTTTCGCCAGTGGGACTCAAAGGTTCGTATACAAATCTTTGAGTCCGACTGGCGTAAAAAGCATCTTCCAAAAATCTAGTTGGGGTGTGGAGAGGAGCTCAAAGGCTTTGGCGAGTAGCTAAGACTCCAGCTCTCCCCTGCCTAAATCACTATAAATAAAGATCTTGCATCCTACACGACAAAATATTTTATTGAGTTTAAATGGGACAGCCAGCGTCGGTGGAGTGGACGTGGGTGTGGTTGTGCATCTGGGTGTGAGGTTTAGGACAGGCATAACACCTCACACCCACACCCACTTCCACACCGCCACCACAACCGCCACCTACGCCTCCACCTATACCGCCAGCTACACCTCCAGCTACATCCTTACAGCCATCCACACCGATACCCACCCACACCTACACCCCCCATACACACCCACTCCCACATCCTCATCCCCGCCCCCTCACTCACACCCATTCACACCCTTACCCACAACAGCGTCCCACACCCACACCCAAACTCATCCACACGCACTTTCTGTATGTAAGTGTAGGCGGCGATCTTTTCTCTACTCCCACCTACACCTCACTCCCATGCCGACACTCTAGTTGTGGTAAATCATTGCTTGAAAGTGCTCTCGTGAGAGTGAGAAATGCATTTGATACATGTGGCAGCACTATTCTAAAAGAATTTTAGCAACACAATGAAGGTTAAGTCTGAAATTTTGCGCAGAATCATAAATATGTTTAACCATTTTTGTAGAATAGTTACATTCAAATTATGGTTTTCAGATGAGTCGGGAGAACATCTTTTGGAGTACCATATCTATTTTTATATCCGATCATAGTCAACTTGATCATGCCTTCTCCTAATCCCTTATTTTAGATGTATAAATTGAAGATGAAAGTACCTATTATATCCTCGTTGATTCAACTTGTACTGTTGTACATAGTTTTACCTGGAAGCATCCTTGGAGCTTGTTCACCAGGAACGTATTATACGATGAATAATGGCAATTGCGCACCTTGTCGTGCCGGACGTTATTGTCCTCAAACTTCGACCAGCACCGACGAAGCATGCCCATCAGGAACATATCAGCCAAATGATGGTGCCTCCTCGATTAGTGCTTGTTTACAATGTCGTGTTGGCACTTACAATTCAGTGTCTGGGCAAGCAAACTGCAAGAACTGTCTTAGTGGCAGTTATTGCCCTCAAACGGGGGCTACCAGCGTGCAATGGTGTCCAGCAGGAACATATCAGCCAAATGAAGGTGCAGTCTCTGCTCAAGCTTGCTTAGCATGCCCCGCTGGCACGTATAATGGAAACACTGGAAAGGCAATGTGCTTAAAGTGTCCTCATGGAACGTATTGTGATACCACTGGGGGAACCACGTTTAAAGAGTGTCCACCAGGAACATATCAGCCAGATGAGGGTGCCACATCAGCTCAAACATGCTTGAAATGCCCCGCTGGTACTTTACATCCGTTGCCTGCCGGATATGAATGCTACCCGTGTCCTGAAGGCAATACGTGTGACGATCCTGCTCAACCACCAGTACCTATGTCGACTTCAGCTTCATCGACTGCAGCTTTATCGACTGCAGCTTTATCGACACTGGCTTCATCGACTGCAGCTTTATCGACACTGGCTTCATCGACACTGGCTTCATCGACTGCAGCTTCATCGACTGCAGCTTTATCGACTGCAGCTTTATCGACTGCAGCTT